TTTGTAGCATGTGTGACTTGTTTTGTAGCATGTGTGACTTGTTTTGTTGTATGTGTGACTTGTTTTGTAGCATGTGTGACTTGTTTTGTTGTATGTGTGAGACTTTAGTTCAGTCCAAAATCGCGTTTAGTGATGCAAACACTACGGCCCATGCCACTGCCTCCATTCGTGTCTTTAACAGACTAACAGCAGATGACGGCGCATGCGCACAACGAAGACTACTCTCGAAAGCCTCCCTAAACGATATAATCAAACATCTACCTGTTCGAGCTTTGAATTGAGGAAGCAGTCAAACTCATTTTTACGCAAACACACTCGCGTTTAGATTGTTGCTAACAGATTTTAGCCAGTCTATTTGAGAATCTTTGACAGCGTATTAAAACATTTGAGTTTTCCGAGGCCGTGTTTCTCTCGGGCGCCACTTAACCAACTTACTTTAGCTAACTAGCCAGTAACTTTTAAAAGGATTTTGTGGCAGCCAAATGAAAGGCAACACAATGGCAACGAATTGTGCAGAACGACATGAACAAAGCTCAGGTAAATGTCTCAGTTCGAGTTAGAAGCGTGCCGGCTGAATGCTGTGGAGCAGTGGAACGGATTATCCTGGTCCCTCAATGACTGTACAACGCTTTGATGCTAGTCGGCTAACGTTAGCCAACCTGTGGGGCTCTACCACGGCGTCAGTTCGGTGCTTACTTCTGCTGTCTTCTCTCTCCAAGACCAATCTAATGACGTTTAACACACAAACCCGCTGTCGCTACCTAAACGTTACAACGACTACAACACCGCACTACTTAATATACCCAAGCAGTTGAAGAGTAAAAAGTTACAGCCTTACCTGTAGCAGCCATCTTGAATACTCTCAATCTGAAGTCGGATCTGTCAAGAACTTCAGGGAAAGCTGAAAACCTCCATAATGCTGCGTTCTGATTGGCTGATTGTAGTAGGCGCGCTCTTCCATTGGACGAATACCAGCTGGGCACCCAAGAGGCGGGTCTTTCTCATGCAAATACATTAACATTATAATTGTAGATTTACAACGCACCACCGCTTTTTATGCTAGTGTCCAAAACATGACATGGGCGTGTGAAATTGTACTTTACACATATTTGAATTTCCCTCGGGGTTAACAAAGTAACTGTTAAATAAAGCAGTTTACATTCATTTAAAACATTTTTCATAAAGGACTCGGTTATTTCTCAGTATTCAAGACTTGCACACAATAATATTCATCAAGTATTTTCAGTGTTGAATAAAGTACCTCAAAGTGATACTTCAGTGAAAGTACACGTATCTTACCATAAAATCACTTTGGTAAAAATTAGTCTACTTTAAAATTAATATTTAAGTAAAAGTCTTAAAGTATCGGACATTAATGTACTTAAGTTTCAAAAGTAAATTTATATT